TTTTTTGGTGCCTCCTGGAAAGGCTGGTCCGGAGACTGCATCAAACAAGGTGCTTTTGTGGGTATTATTGCAATATTAAGTATTAAAGTCCTGACCAGTAATGAACACTCCTAATGAACACCATCTGCTGCCGGCCTGCACTTAAACGTATTTATCACGTACATGGGGATCCAGCAGCAAAACTGCTCTGCAGAGACAAGGTCAAGGCTCTGCCTTAAACCTATTACTTGCATAAGACAGTGATTACTCCTAATCTCAGAGCAAAGCAAGGGGAGATGAGCTCGCTGGGAGTGCGGCTGAACCTGTTATGAGAGCAAGTGGCCTGGAAACCTCCGCACCCCTCGTAAAGCTCCAGGGCAGGACAAACCACCTGCAGAGGCTCGGAAGGCCCGGCCCTTCTCTGGCAGACGCAGGGCTGCTCGGGCTGGTGAGGAGGCAAAGGGCAGAGCGGCGGCAGGGCTCTGTGCCGGCTGCAACGCTGGGTCGGGCCTCACAGGGTGCTCATGGAGTATCACAGAATCACCGAGGTTGGAAAAGCCCTTGAAGCTCCTCCAGCCCAGCCATGACCCTCACCCTGACCCTTCCCAACTCCCCCAGACCCCTCAGCGCTGGCTCAGCCCGACTCTTCAACCCCCCCAGGGATCCCGGGGACTCCCCCCTGCCCTGGGCAGCCCATTCCAACGCCCAACAGCCCCTTCTGCACAGAAATCCTTCCTCAGAGCCAGCCTGACCCTGCCCTGGGCAGCTTGAGGCCATTCCCTCGGGGCCTGGCGCTGTCTCCTTGGCTCCAGAGACTCATCCCCCCTCTCTGCCCCCTCCTGGCAGGGAGTTGCAGAGGGCCAGGAGGTCTCCCCTCAGCCTCCTCTTCTCCAGACTGAACCCCCCCAGTTCCCTCAGCCGCTCCCCAGCAGACCTGTGCTCCAGACCCTGCCCCAGCTCACGCTCCCTCAGGCTGTACTCGCTCCCCTCATCTCAGAAGCATTTTGGCTGGTTAATCTGCAGGCAAACGCCGAGCTGCCGGGTCACAGCTTTATGGAAAGCTCACCCAGACAGCCGGTCTTCTCCACTCAGCCTAAATAGCTGCATGTCGTGGTCCCACCACTGTTGCTCTTTCCCACTAAAGCATTTAAGATAGGCCCAGCTACAAAGGTCAGAAAGCAGACACACACCCTCCTTCCTCCTTGGCGTGCGCCGTTTGGGATGCTGGAGCTGAGACGTGGTAATTCTTAGGGGAGTCAGCAACGCCTGTGCTGGGGGAAGACCTGTAATTTATTTTGTCTTCCCTAAGATGGCCTTGCTGATGGGTGCATGACTGGAGTCTGGAAAGTGATGGCCCTAAAAACAGCTCCAAAACCTCATGGCTTTCAAAAAAAAAAAAACCCAACCCATATTCAAAGCAGGACATCAAAACCGGAGATGACGGAGGAGCTGGTGCTGCAGAAGTAGCAGGGACTGAAAGTCAAAGAAAAAAATTCTTTGACCAGGAATTAACACCTCTGCGCTTTACTGTATTTCAGTTTCCCTGTGCCTTTCGTCACCATGCACAGGGGTTTCCCCTGTGTGACTTACTGACAAGCGACTTTCCAGGAACAGATCTCGGCTCCCCTCCCGGGGAGCCTCTGGAGCCCAAGGCGGGCAAAGCCCAGCACACACAGTTCCTCGGCTCCTCCGTGGCTTAGCAGGGGTAAATTCAGAGAGCCCCGGGGTGTCTCGCTCACAGAGCTGGGACCTGCTGCCCACATGCTAAGATCTGTCTCCAGCAAAGGCCCCACTCCAGAGCTCCCTGCCCAGGGACCGCAACCCCCGAGCCGGTTCCCAGAGCAGAGCGAAAGCTTCTGGCCCGGCCCCGACTCTCCAGACACCGTGGCTGCTCCAGCCCCCCAGGGCCACAGGGAGCTTTATTTCTGGGGCTCCTTTGCTGGTGAGCCAGCACACGGCTGCGAATAGACTCTGGTTTGCTGTCCTGGCCGACGGCAGCACAGACCAAACCTTCCCAAGTTCTCCCACAACCACGCCTGGAGCCCGAGCCCGGTGTGTCGCCGTCCCGCTCATCCACGAGAGCGCAGCAGCTGAAATAGCTGTGCAGGCAGCGACTTTCTGAGAGAAACTGCCTCTGGGCAGTGAAACCATCCTGTGAGAAAACGGGGAAACAAGACTGGAATGCATGTGAGCGTGCCTGGGGCAGAGTCTGCTCTGGCCCCTGCGGCGTCAGGGCCACGGGCTGCGTGTGCCCCGCTGAGCCCCGGGAACTCGCTCCGGGGATGGCGCGGCCGCCTCTGGCACCGGGGAGAAGCTGCCCAGGCTGTGACCTGACCTCGTGGCGTGAGCCGTGGCTGCAGGGAGGGATCCCGTCTACAAACGCTGCAATATCCGAGCCGGAGACATCGCAGCAGCATGCACGTGCTCGGGGAAAACCCAAAGCACCTGCCCAGGCCCCTTCCTGCTCCGTCCCTGCCCACCCCGGCGCGGCCGCGTGGGCTCCCACCCTCACCTTGATCCTCTCGATGCCGGCTTCGATGCGGAGCTGCTCCACCAGCTTCCGGGCCTGCGCTATGTTGTTAGTTGTTGACATTGTCTGCCATCGGCTCCAGACCCCAGCACGCGAGAATCCTGCGGAACAAGGGGGGAGAGGGGGGTTGGCATCATGCACGAAGCCACTGTGCCACCGGGCGTCTTCGTGGAAAGGGCTCTGTGCCGTGTCCTCACCGGCAGCCACGTGCCAAGGGCTTCCTCGAGCTCTAAACTGATGACACCAACTCAACGTTTCCTCATTTTGTTTCAAGTTCTCTTTTCCTTTAAACAGCACTCTTGCTGCACGCTTTTCAGGCTTTCTTTGATTAAAAAACAGAAACAGAAACTTGTCAACAAAAGGGGAAAACGTTTCCAGCCCCTGTAACCTGCCCTGCACCGCTCGCAGCGAGCCAGGCCAGGGGACAGCGGGCAGGGACCACGCTCAGCTCCTGCACGTTCACCCTCACTTTCCATCTGCTCGCTGCGTCGCTGCCTCCGGCCCGCCCCGACTCCCATGTCAGGATTTCCTCAGCACAAGGAGGCTCTGAGCAGCAACTAGAAACTCTTCATATTGCACAAACTCAGACCTGAGATGTTTATCCATCCTTTTGGAAATCGATGTCCCTCAGAAGAGGAGAGTAAGAAATGAGGGAAGAGTGATATAGGTCCCAGGCTGGGTGGGAAGCCAAGGCTCAGGCTCGGCAGAGGCTTCTCAGATGCCAAAGCACTGGATGGAGGCAGGGGACGGGCAGCGAGGTCTGGGCACAGACACGGGTGGGTACGAAAGCACGAGAGGCACCAATAGCTCGTGTCTCGAATGCACCTTCCACAGAAATGCTGCAAAGTAAGGGCCTGGCTGAAGATGGAAACGCAGAGAGCAGGGCAGGGCGGGCCAGAGTCAGAGCAGGGTGGTGCCAAGGCACAACCCCCTTCTGTGCACCAAGTATCTGGTCTCTGAGGGTCTCCCAGACCCTGTGCAGCTGCCACAGCCTGCACCCATCCGCGAATGTACCTGTCACCCTGCGGGCTGCAACCTGCCCGTGGGACCGTGTCCCCGCGACCGCCACGCTGCAGCTGGGCACCCCGGCAGCGGGAACGCAGGCAGTTAAACAACCTTCCTCGAAATTTAAAAGCAGCAACTGAAGAACTTTGTCTATGAGACCAAAATAATCCATCAGTGTCACTCGGGCCTGAGCCAGGCTTGCTGGAGGACAGCGCCGGCCTCCCTTGGCCAGACACTGCTCTCAGGTCATTTCTTTCTGATCATCTCGGGAAAAGTCGCTGCCCTGCCCGGCAGTGAGTCAGCCCCCGACCACGCACGAGCGTCGGGGAGCAGGGGGCGAGGGCTGCAACGAGCGCCACCTCCCCTCCCGCCGCCTGGCAAACCAGCAGATGCTGCTGGGATGGGGAAGGAGCCAAAGCAAACACGGGGTCAGGTACCAGCGGCGCTCCCAGCGCCCCAGCCAGCCGCCCACCGCGGCCCTCCCGTGCGAGCTTTAATTACAGACTCCTGCAGTCTTCTCCCCGGGCCCGGCAGCTTCAAAGCAGATGCTGAACTGCTGCCTTGACCGAGGGGGAGGAGGGGGGAGCGTCTGCCCCATCTGAGATCCCAGCAGACTTGAGCTGTCTCGCCTATGTTTAGACATTAAGGGAGTTTATTCCAGACCACAACGGTACTCTCGGGGATTATTTTGCTTGGCAGCAGCATGCAACGTGCGCTGCACTTTTCAATCCCCGAGCGGCAACCGGTTTCGTTTGCAACACCCAGTGCTACAGGGAGAAAACAAAAGGTGCTTCAGCCAGAGCCACCGACCCCGCCATGGGCTGGTTCCCTGAATTAGCAGGGTTATTCGGAAATCTCCGCCTCTCCAGTCCTGGAAGACGTTAGTCAGGGCGACACGGGAAGCCACGCTGTTGAAATAGTCTGGTACTGTGGAAATTGGGAGAAGGAAACAGGCTGGTCCCCGAGGGAAGGATCCTCCTCTTCTGCTCTGATCTCTTGCTCTGATTCGAAGCGCTCCAAAACAGTGCAGGCAGCATTAGGATGGGGGAAAAGCTCTGTCTCAAAGTCAAGCTCTGTCTAAATCTGTACTGTGAACCTGAAAGATCTCCCTGCTGCAAACAGCTTACTGACAAAACAATTCTTCACCTGGATAAAGAGTTAGCAGGCAGCTGGAGGAAAAAAAACACAAGCAATCTGATATAATTTATGTTTGCAGCAGCACAAGATCACCTGCTTGTACTTTCCCAGCTTCCTGTTTATGGAACAAGGCTGATGAATCAGTCCAGGGTGAGTTACTTAAGGGAACTTCTGCTTCTGCTGCAGCTCTGGGAGATGCTCGGCCCGTGTCCTCGTCCCCGCAGCATCCCACGGCTCCTGCTGCACGGGGACACCAGCCCGGCCCAGGGAAGGACACGTTTCACTACGCACAGCAAGGAGAGAGTCCTGGCGCGTGGCAGGAATTAGCAAACAAGTGGCTTAAAAGTCCTTGGCAAGGGGGAGAAGTTTTGCTCCCCACTCTCCCTGCAGCCTGGTTTCATGGAGTCTTCCCAAAGTGAAAGCCACTCCTGTAAATCAGAAATGATGTTTCACCTGGGTCGTTACAGCGTCAAAGCCACCACCTCCGGCTCACTCCCCCCCCCCCCCCCCCCCCCCCCCCCCCCCCCCCCCCCC